GGGGAAGGGGTATAAAGGAGCTACCAGTTTGAGCGGGGCGGTGTGAAGGGGGTCGTCGATCCAGATCAAAGGTGGTTCTTTGCACGTCCAAAGGGGGTTCTAAAGGGGGCGTTTCGGACAGGGATTTGTTGGGGTGGAAAACGGGACCCTGCTGCCATCCCCTCAACATTTCTCGTCGGCGTACTCTGCTCCACCTCCCACTCATTCTGTTTCTAGTGTATTCCATCCACTCTCTGGACCTGCTCAACAAAAGCAGCTCTCTGGAAAACTCGTATTTTTTCCGCAGCTCATCGTCCATCAACACCTCATAAGCTTCGTTCAGCTCTTCGAACAGCCGCTGACGGCTTGACACGTGGAAGTCTAACAGCCTGCCTTTTAAGGATCCGTCCCACGACGGCATTGATGCATGGACTCCGCGACGACGTGATGTTATGCTTCTCCCTTGCGGCGGCTCATTCCCCCCACCCCGACCCCCATCCCTCCCCTCCGCCTCCGCCTCCTCTTCCTCCCCCTCCTTCCCTTGCCATCCGTCCTGATGAATGCGCGAAGGAGATTGGGATCCTGTCGCACGCGGACGAGGAAGAGGAGGACGGCCCATAGCAGCACCACTGCCATGCTGGCTTCCTCCGTCATCTTCTGCCCCCGATCCCGATCGAGACCGATTGCTGGTCGGTGTTTGTACAGGATCGGGATGGTACAGTTTCAACAGCTGTGCGAACGCCTCGGAAATCTCCTCTTTGGTCGCGCCTTGTCGAACTCCCAGCAGTGCGCTGTAGTTCTTCCTTACATTGTAATAGAAAGGGACGAATATCACTCCTCCTTTTCCTCCTCCTCCTCCTCTCTGTTCCCCTCCTCGTTTTCGTCGTCTTATTCTCTCGCTACCATCTACTGATGCTGGCCCTGCGGCAGAGCAAGGGGCATCTTCCCCTGTGATAGTAGGTATCCCAACAGGGCAAGCATCAATACACCCGTGATCGATGCGGGAGTAATACCCCTGTCTTACGTGATAGGTGGGATCCCGACCTCCTTCCCTTCCTCCTACTTCTCCTCTCGCTCTTTCTCCTACCTCACCTCCTCCTCCTCCTCCTCCTCCTCCTCCTCCGCCCCCGCCTTCTCCTACCCCCCTGCTGTCTCCTTCCCTCCTCTCTTTGTTGGACATCAACTTGGCCTGCTGCTCTTCCTTCTTCGGCACCGCGCTCCCGATCCCGACTCCTTCTCTGACTGCCATTTGTTTCCTTTTTTTTCTTTTCTTTTTTTTCCCAGATATGAAAACAGATGCTCCCCCTCCCCTCGACCTGATCTAAATCCCATACACACACAAA